TTTGTATGCCGAGGTGGAAGAGGCGAGGGATTCGGATGGGGTTGATGATGATATTTGGGTGGAGGAGGACAATGCAGCTAACACTTCAGGAGGTGAAGGTGTTGTAGCACAAGATCGGCTGCGTATTGTATATCACGCCGCACGTTTTTTACAGACTGCGTGCCAGGAGACAAAGGCCCAAGAGTCAAGCGGGGAAATCCCAACAGTTGCTGAAGCAAACGCATGCTTACCCAGCCTACTCCACAACTTTCTGGCTTGGGTAGTGACTGACCAGCATCATGATGACATCGGTCAGGACAAAGTTGATTTGGATGAGCAGCTGCAACGTCACGTCTCCTCCATTGGCCAGGATCTGCTGTATATTACATCAGGACTGCCGTGCCCCAAACATGTTGTTCTGGGACTGACCCTACATCACCTCTACCGGAGCGAGAAGCTGCTGAAAATGCTTAACCGGTTTGGGCACACCATTGCCTACTCCCAGGTTTTGGAAAGGGAGACTGCTATGGCAGAGCGGCGAGTGCGAGACGGGCACATAGTGGATGCGTTACCGGGTGGCATTGACCCCCACCGGCCATTCTACCATGTAGCAGATAATAACGACTTAAAGGAGGAGACTCTTAACGGGAAAGGGACCACACACTGCACCAACACCGTTGTTGTCCAGCCCCGTGCTTCATCAGTAAGCCGCCCTGACAGTGATGTTTCTCCTGCTGAGCCAGCACGAAAACGCAAGCGTACGCTGGCCCTCGAACCTGAGGTTCTTCCCGAATTAGTGTGCCCGACAAAAGTCAACCCAGAGCGCCATGAGGCAGTTGACGTGGAGACGCTGGACACCTCACTGCCTCACTGTTCTGACGCGGTGGCCATGGATGACTTCATCTGGCAGCTTGCACGGGCTTCAAAGGACGGTGACATCGGCAACGTCATTTTGTCCCGCACTGATCAAGACCAGACAGTTCCAGCGTGGTCGGCATTTAATGCCATGCTTCAACGCCAATGCATCCCACCACGGTCTGCCATAGGTTACTGCCCTGTAGTCAACTCGTCACCAACTGACATGTCAACAGTCTACGCCATCCTCAGAAAGTGCCTTGGTCGATGTGCCAATGCTGGCCTCCCATTTAGCATCAATGTAGTGGACCAAGCCATTTACGCAAAGGCATTGGACATTATTAACCACCGGCCTGACGAGTTCTCACCCGTGGTGCTGAGATTGGGAGCGTTTCACGCAGCCTGCACGTTCCTCGCCATCATCGGGAAGCGTTTCCGTGATGCAGGTCTCCTTGATCTGTTCGTTGAGTCCGGGATAGCTGGACCATCTTCTGCCTCGTCTGCGTTAGACGGGACTCAATACAACCGAGCTGTGCGTTTGCACAAGGTTGGTGCAGAGGCTTTGCATCGGGTGCGGTGGCAGCAGTTCGTGCAAGATGCGGATCCCACGATCATCAACCTAGCAGCCCTCCGATCTTCACTAACGTCTTCATTCACAGATTGTACATTGTCCAATGCCCATGTGATGGCATACTCTTCCTTTTGTCTCTTTTATATTTTCTACACCTTCATTTGGATTTGATAACAGCCGAAGTTTGTTTCAGATGATGGCCCAGTCACATGGAGAAGCCCACCTACATGTGTATTTCATGTACATTATAATACTTGTGATGAGTACTCTGTTCTTTGCTTCTGATGTACATACGATCCCCAATGTGATTTGACTACAGCTCATTACGAAAGACGATCCATGTATTGGACATAATCTTATCAGTGATTGTAATGCTATTGTATACCAAAGGGCATTCTGAATTGTATTGTGAAACAAGGCCCACAAGAAGTGATAAAGACTGTAAAATGTCCAGGTATATCACGAGGGGAGAGCCTCCCCTTCCACCCCATTCTGCATCGCTAATCGAGGGGCCGAGCACCCCCCTTCTACCCAACTACTGTACTTACAGTGCAATGGTATTGACCTTTTGTATGCACCCAATTGTCGTACTGCGGGCGACCCCAGCATGGGTTCTAGTTGCACGATTATCATCAAACCTTGGATACCGGTGGTTCTTGGTCTTTCTTTGGCAAAGCAAAAAACTGGAACTGCTTACAGCATAGGAAAGGTGGTAAAATTTGAATTTCGACTTCCGTTACCATGGCAACATCAAAATAATAGTATTCCTTTGATTTGGTCAACTTAGGACAAGAATCCCGGGACTAGAGATACATGATAAGAAAGCCCTAGCACCACTCTATCATTTCGTATAGTCAAACCTTGGTACCCTTCTGCTCGGAGCGAAAAGTGCGAATTTTGCACCCTGGCCTGCGGACTATGTGGGATTTTCCTAATGTCGGGCTGGAGCCTGTTCCACAGTGATACACATTGGAATGAGGCAGAATGTGTGCCAGCAGATGTCTTAGTGACTGGAAATTTAAGTGCTCAATTTCCCTGACTACGTGTGGCACGGCCGGCATTAAGAGGACTGAACATATCGGTAAGCAATGTGCTGCATTTACCCTGAAGGCAGCGCCAAGTGTAGCCAAGGAGCTTGTGGCAGTACATAACTTCTAGCGAGTGCAAGCGCAATTGGCAATACAGCGGCGCAGATGGGGATGCAAATGGAGCGTTGTAAACACAGCGGACTGCGCGCTTGAGTAGACGCTCTAGGCGCTCGAGCTGATGTGAGGTGAGGCCAGCAGAGAAACAGTTACACTTCGGAGGCTCCGGCTACGAATGTGACAGTGTGTTAGGCCTCAAATCTTCGCTTTTCAAATAATTCACAGCGATTTAAAGAGAAAATTTACACAAACTCCAACCTCGGTCCCTTGATATTCCCGCCCTTTCCCACACTCCTTTGGCCTTTTTCTTCGCTTCAAATTGTTGCAGTTGCAGATTTATTTCTCTTTGGACGTAGCCGTATAGCCTACATACGTGTTGATTGCAGAGCCATGTCATCCGTTAGTGACCTCCCCAGTCAGGGGACGGCTGGTTCTGCGCGTCCCACGCAGCACGACCCGCTTGTGGCAAATCGTGGAGCTGCAGAGATCCAGAGTGGGAATGCTGTGCCTGAGAGGCCACCACAGCCCACTCAGCGTGATTTGCTTTCTGCCGCATCCCCCACTGTCTGCGGAAGTGGTGGGGTGCCGGCTATGCCCATGCCGCATGGAGGTTACCCGGCCTATGGCCCAGTATGGGTCGTTTTATCTACCACCGCACGGGCTAGCTCCGACTGGAGAGCCGCATGACCCGTTTTCGGCTGCACAGCGGGCTGTAGGGCTCTGTGTTTCCGCCCAGAACGAAGCACTGCCTGGCCCAGGGACTGAGGTCCTGGAGTCCAGCGGTGATGCAGCCAATACTGGCACTAGTAATATCGGAGAGCCTGCAGCCAAACGAGCCGCCAGAGCTCTGGACTTCGCACCGGCCACTGCGGTGGCGAGTCGCAAATTCCTTTTCAACGCCCCTGAGGCGGTGACGAGTTATGTTGAGAAGTATTTTCGGTCTCCGCTCTCTGACGAGCAGCGGAAGGCCATGCACGAGGACCATTCACGGCCTGACACGGCAGCAGCCTATGTGCCCAAGGTGGATGATACAGTATTGCGCTGGGCTGGTTCCCGTTTCCCCAAGACATCCGACTCACAGTGGGCGGCTGTTCAACGTGATGTGGCATCGCTCTCTGGTCCGGCTGCATGTATGCTCTCCGCCCTGGTCGAGGCAGAGGAAGGTGTTCCGGCAGTGGAGGAACTCTCCGTACCATCGGCGGAAGTCAAGGATGTGCTCCAGCGCACACTTGTCCTGGTCGGAGACCTGATGGCTTCGATCAATGGCATCCGCCGCCAGTCCATCATCGAGGCTGTGGACAAAGACGTGGCAAGAGTAACCAAAGGTATCCCACCGCCAGGCACTGGGAAGGAGCTGTTTGGTGAGGAGTTTATCTCAGCCATCTCCACGAAAGTGAAATCCGAGGCGACGTTGAATGAGGCGCAGAGGCTGGCGCGCAAGCCACAGCCAAAGCTGGGTTTTCAGCGAAAGGGGTTCGCGTTCCAGTCATCGCGTACCCCAAAGCTGCATACCTTTTCCAGTCGCCAATACGGCAGGGACCGCCAGCAGCCGCCCCACCGAGGCTCATTTCGCCCCCACCGCGGAAGACCGCAAGGGCAGTGGACACCAGGGTCGAGGGGCAAGTCACCACCTCGCCCTCAGGCCCAGTAGTGGGCCACGCGGGGCAGCTCCGGGAATCGCCAACACCATCATCGGAGCTGCAGCTTCCCGTTCCTTGGCGATGGGAGGTACATCATCCACCTCCACCCGCTGGTCGCATTGCGGTGGCCTGGCAGAACTGGGAGCAACTGACGGCGGACCCATGGGTTCGCAGTACCGTCCGGCATGGCCTGCGCATCCCACTGCTGGCTCGCCCTCATCAGCGGCATGCTCCGAGACATATGCACCTGGCTCAGGCGGAGCAGGTTGCTCTGCAGGAGGTCCTGTCCAACATGGCAGCAGCGGGGGGCATCGAGCCCACTACAGTGCGAGACGCGACATTCAAGAGCACGCACTTCATGGTACCCAAGAGTGGTGGTCGATGGAGGCTAGTGTTCAACCTCAAAGCGCTGAACGAGTTTGTGGACAACTCCCATTTCAACATGGAAACGTTGGCAGTCGTACCCGAGCTAGTTCAGCCGAACTGGTGGTTGGCGAAACTCGATCTGAAGGACGCCTTTCACTCGGTACCGGTGCACATTCACAGCCGACGCCTCCTCCAGTTCATGTGGAACGACCAGGTATGGCAGTACACTTGCCTCCCGTTCGGTCTGTCGGAGTCACCCCGCACGTTCACCAAGGTACTTCGTCCAGTAGCAGCGTGGCTCCGTGCAATGGGTCTGCTCATCGTTGTCTATCTGGACGACTGGCTGTTGATAGCACACTCCCTGCTCTAGTGGCGCAGCAGATCCAGTTTGTGGCAGCCCTCCTAGAACGACTGGGCTTTATAGTCAACCGCCAGAAATCTATCATGGAGCCGACGCAGATCCTGACGTTTCTCGGAGTCGAAGTGAACTTGGTGCGCATGGAATTTTCCTTGCCTCGCGACAAGCTGGACAAGATTCGCTCCGAGTGCCGTCGCCTGCGCAACAAGGGATTTGCTACCCTCGCCGAACTGCGTTCACTGACAGGCAAGATGGTTGCAGCGCGCCCTGCAGTACACCTCGCTATGCTTCATGTCCGGGGACTGCAGTTCCTGCTGAACGAGGCTCTGGCACACCGTCTCGAGACCCAACAGTTGGACGAATGGGCCTGCAGCGACCTGCGTTGGTGGATAACGACGGCGGGGTGCCCGATACCCATGCACAGAGACCCACCCACGGTCACCATGAGCTCAGATGCGTCCAATGTAGGATGGGGTGCTGCTGTGGATACGGCGCATGCCGGGGGGCCATGGTACGAGTCCGAAGCTGCGCACCACATCAACTGGAAAGAGCTGATCGCGGTATGGTTAGGTTTTAAAAGCCTGCTCCGCAACGCATCCAACCAAACCATCCGGTTGGAAATCGACAACACGACCACCGTGGCATACCTCAATCATCAGGGAGGCACTCATTCTCGGCGTCTGTGTACGCTTGCGATTCAGGTGCTGGAGTGGGCTGCAGCCCGACACTTGGAGCTGGAAGCGGTTCATGTGCCAGGAGCCCTGAATCACACAGCAGACTATCTGTCCCGTCACGTGGAGGAGACGGGCGACTGGATGCTCCCGTACGATCTGTTTACTACCATCCAACAGACATTCGGCCCGCTGAGTGTAGATCTGTTTGCGGCCCGCCACAATGCTCGCCTGGCCCGCTACCTGAGCTGGCGTCCAGATCCAGAGGCAGAAGCAGTGGATGCCTTCTCCACCCCTCCAGAGCTATGGGAGAATGCTTATGCCTTTCCGCCATTCAGCCTGCTCACCCGGTGTCTTCGCTACATCCGGCAACACGACATTCGACGGGTAATCGTGGTGGCTCCAGCCTGGCAGTCACAGGCTTATTACCCTCAGCTGCTCCGAATGTCCTGCAGTGCTCCGCTACGACTAGTGTCGTCAGACGTTCTGGACCCACAGGGACAAGTCCATCCACAGGCACAACGCCTACGACTGACCGTATGGAGTATCTCCGGGAAGCAGCCTCGCTGCGAGGCCTTTCGCAGGGAGCTGTCACTCTCTGGCTCTCCTCCTGGCGAACTAGCACCAACGCAACGTATCAGTCAGCATGGCGACAGTGGGTGGGCTGGTGTTGCGAACGACGTGTGGATCCCGTATCGGCGGACCCTACTCAATTAGCCAACTTTCTAGCGACACAGTATGAGGCAGGCAAGCAATACCGTACCCTGAACGTGTACCGTTCGGCGGTGTCATCCACCGTACCGCCACTCCACGATAATGTACCCGTCGGACAATCGCCTAGCGTCGTCCGGGTTATGCGTGGTATCTACAATCAACGACCGCCATTGCCTCGCTATTCACGTACGTGGGACGTGGCCACTGTTCTAGAATACATTCGGTCATTGGGCCCGAATACTGCTTTGACCCTGTCGCACCTGTCCTGGAAGCTGTGCATGCTGCTCGCACTGGCTAAGGCAGCAAGAGTAAGTGAGATCTGTCACTTGGATATCCGCGCAATGCGCTTCCTGGCAGATGGTGTCGAGTTTGAGCTGACTCACGTCACCAAAACACAACGCTCTGGCGGCCCGCAGAAGTTCTTTGTGCCAGGTCTGCCGGCTGACCCGATCCTGTGCCCAGTGGAATGCATCAAAGCCTATCTAGATGTGACTAAGTCCATCCGCACTACACCAGCTCATAGTGCTCTCGTTGTGTCCACTCGCCGACCGTTTCAGCCAGTCTCGACCTCAACTGTCGCCAGATGGGTGACAACACTGCTCCAAGCAGCGGGTGTTGAAAGTGACTTCTCAGCCCATTCTACGCGGAGTGCCTCCACTAGCGCTGCACGGCAAGTCGGGGTGTCATTGGCGGATGTGTTGGCGACAGCTGACTGGTCACGGCCCAACACATTCATCCGCCACTATTACCGACCGCACAGCCAAGCTTCTTTTGGCCAAGCCGTCTTGACGGTTAGCACTGGGTGAGGAGTCTTCTACAAGTGCGGACTGTGGTTCCGATTTCTATGCATGGTTTCTCATAGTGATCATGCCTGCTCCCTGATTATTTCACTATCCATGCCGTTGCTTTGCTTGTGTGGAACACTACAGTTGAATCTGTTTCATATTGATTTGAGAAAGTGTATCTGTCCTCAGCGGTTACAACATGCTGTTTCCTTCCAGCTTCTTTCTCTTGACAGAGTGTAGTGTCGATAGCAACATACATTAGCCATTAATTTCATACCTTGCTACTCATGTGAGGTCTTTCCCACCCGCGCCGCCCCTGTCTCATTCTCCGCTGTCAGACGTTGCCTTTTGCTTGTCCATAAATGAGCTCATCAAAGGCCAAAGGAGTGTGGGAAAGGGCGGGAATATCAAGGGACCGAGGTTGGAGTTTGTGTAAATTTTCTCTTTAAATCGCTGTGAATTATTTGAAAAGCGAAGATTTGAGGCCTAACACACTGTCACATTCTCCGCCTTCACCTCCTAGTGTAACCTGAATTCCACGTCAGACCTTTCAGGTCCTAGCGGAATTCCTAATTATACATGTAATACAGGAAGGATCAGGGACTTCAGGTACGTGATGCGGCACGGGAGGGGCATGCAGCGCCTGTTTCTAAACAGGACAGCTATTTTACAGGCAGCTCGCTTGGCGATCTGGTTGACCATGGTGGTCCACTTGAGATCTTAGTCCATGTGGACACCAAGATACTTTGCGGATTCTACTTGTGCCAGTTGAACTCCAGAGCACATAACGCTGACATGAGGATTCACAGAACGATGGGCAGGGATGAACAAAATCTGGGTTTTACTCTCGTTTAGTACCAGGTTCCTGCTGGCAAGCCATCTGGCCAGGTGCGTAACTGCAGAAGACATACTGCGTTCCAGCTGATGTTTGTCCTTGCTACGAATATAGAGCATGATGTCATCTGCAAACTGAACTGTCCGCACACCATACGGTTGCACTTCAGCTGCCACACCACGGACATAGAGGACAAACAGCAGAGGACCAAGTACGGAACCCTGGGGCACACCACTGCTGGGCTGAAATACCTTACTGTGCTGGTTCCCAATGACAACTCTTTGCTGCCGGTCGCTTAGGTAGTCTGCCAACCAATTCAGCGCACTTCCACCAACACCAATACTGAAGAGGTCGCGGATGAGGGTGCCATGTTGAACCTTGTCGAATGCCTTCGACATGTCAACAAAGGCAGCGCAAGTTGAGAGTCCGGAGTCTTTGGCATTGGCAAAAGCCTCCGATGCCGTCACAACAGCATCCTCTGTTGAGTGCTGTTTCCGGAATCCGAACTGGCAATCTGGGTAGAGGCTGTGGGAGGTCAAGAATTCAGTGAGTTGTGAATGTTTGATGCGCTCAAGGATATTTGAGATAATCGGCAACAGAGAAACAGGTCTGAAATTGGTGGCCTTAGTAGGGTCGCCGCTCTTGTACACAGGGGTGATATTTGCAAGTTTCATGGATAGTGGAAATCTCCCTTCGGAAAGTGACTTGTTGAAGATAAGAGTTACTGATGGAGCTAAGCGGTCAGAGCACGCTTCAAAATCGCTCTATTGACACTGCAAAATCACTGCTCTCTGTTGACGCTGCAAAATTGCTTATCATCTCCCTCCCTCCCTCCCCCCCCCCCCCCCCCTCACTCTCTCTCTCTCTCTCTCTCTCTCCCCGTAGCTCTCTCCCTTTTGAGAATTGGGCACCATGGCCCGTTTGGCCTTGCGAAGTAAAATAAAAATCAACAACAACAACAACAACAACAGAGCATGCTGCTAGTACAAGAGCAGGTACGCCATCACTGCCCGTTGACTTTGTCGTATCTACACTGTTGAGCAACTTGCGTACACATGCGATGGATACTGGCTTGAAACAGCAGAGATCAGTACTTGCATGCGGACCAGAGGGGATGGACAGCACCTTTGGGCGAGTCGCATCGGTGACGATGTCCGCAAACACTTGTCCGATTTCATCCCGGGGGCATTGAGGAGCAGTGTGGGTCCGTGTTCTGCCTGATACCTGGTTAATCACTCTCCATGTTTGTCTTGGCTGACCTTCCGCATTGGCAAACTGATCCTGATAGTAGCATGCCTTGAGTCGTCGGTTAAGCTGGTTCACACCACGTCTGGCCTGGCGGAAAGCTTCATGGTCCACAGGGTTGCAGGTGCGTAGCCATTTGCGGTGGGCCCGGTTTCGACTAGATATTGTGGCCAGCCGGTTTGCATCCATCCAAGGAACATGTTGGCGTGTTTTGGTGTGGCGGGTCCTCAAAGGAGCATGCTTGTCTAGGATATCCAGGAACTTCTGCAGCCATCGAGTCCACATCTCAGCACACGATCCATCTAAGGAGCACAAGTTTGCAGCCACGAGGTCATTGCAAAACATTTCCATGTTGATGCCTCGGAGGTGTCGAGTCTGCGGTTGAGCACTCTGGGGTGCACAGTCGGCAGTAGGTGTTGGCGGATAATGCCGGCATTATATCGAGCATTATACACCACCCGGAGCATTACGAGCAATTATAAAGCATTACGAGGCCAAAAATGGCGTTATACGACGTTCTACATGACTGCATAGTAGATCTACACGCATCCTCGTGACTGTACAGATTCGTATCGGCTATAGCGTTGGTCTTTGATTGGCAACATTAATTTTATTACTATCGCGATGTATTAGTATTACCAGAAGTACAAGCGATAGACCACCGTCCGTACACCATGGTACACATCATGCATGGTACCAAACAGATCGTGGCACGCAGTGCCAGGCCCTGCATGCAGTGCTAGCTAGCTGTGGTGCACAGGTGGAAACTCTCGCAGAAACTTCCGGTCCCGGAAGTCTATCTTCGGCCAGCAACTTTTTGAAGAACCAGGTAACAACCATGACAACGCCGAACCAACGAAACAAACTAACTTAATGTGAGCCAGCATGGAACGGTGGAGGTGCGCACACGCACACATTCCAGACCTTACCCGGTTACTGAAGATTTTCCCTTTTTGGTTCATTTCTGGGAGAGGTCTGAGATAAGAGCAGTTGCCGGAAGGTGATGACAAGATTCAGATGTCAGCAGTGCGGTGTGACAAATCTCTAACATAGCAAAGGTATCATGGAATTTCTTCCTAAACTGGTTTTTGAGGTACACGGGCAGCGCCAACAAGAATCGATAAAACCAATAAATCGATCATTAATGATATTCGTTGATCGTTAGGAGTTATTGAATGATCGTTTCAGCCCTAAAGCATTTCATATACATGTATGTGTAAAATGTTGTACGATTATCGCAAGGCACACAAGGAAGGGAAAGCGAGGATTCGTTTAGAACTGTTTTCTTGTTACAATCATCAGTGAATCTACGTAGCAATGGAATGGGAACTACTTGAACTAATCTTATACGGACAAATAAAAGTGAAAGAAGGTGAAAAAGAGCGAAACAAAAAAGGTGATAATACTACATCTATTCAGTGGGGGGCAAGCTCAACAGGTAAGAACAGTGCATATGTGAATCATCAGCATCAGCAAAACAAAGAAAGAACCTGAACAGACGGAAGGAAGTGTGAACGGAGGGGGGGGGGGACAATCATACTCACAACACTCGCACCATACACTACGTAAACAATTTGAGGGTGATAACACTTTCCTTCTGTACACACAACGCTGGCTTGTACAAGTGAATGAAGATTGCCTCTAAAACTTTAAGCTGCATAATATGAGTATGACTCGCACGACACAACACAGTGAAAGAAGAAAAACCTCGGGACCAGTGGCTAGAGTCTCTACTACCCTCTCCCTCCCCTAGCACATGTATTCCATTTCTCCACCACTCCCATAGAATATGTAGATCATCACAGGCATCTTGGTGTCATTTTTGACACTAATCTCTCCTGGACTCACCATGTTGCCCACATATGTAAGAAGACTAGTCAAGCCATAGGTATAATATACTCACACTGCGCCCATCTTCCTGACAGCTGTCGTGCTCTTTTTTTATAATGCATATACATCTTGCCGCATTTTGACTACTGCTGTACTGCCTGGACAAATCCATCTATTGCCCAACAGCAGAAACTGGAAATTCACAATCGTTCCCTCCTTAAAGGGGAAGTATACCCTAAAATCAAATTTTCACCAGTTGTAGTCTTCGGGGTGCTGAGTCGAATGGTCTTGGTCCGAGGAAGCTGCGA